TTAAATATGTAATTAAAACCCTCCCTCCAAAAAAACCTATCCTAAATCAGGCATGGTGGCAGACAGCTATAATTCTAGCTGTTCTGGAGGCCAAAGCAGGAAGACCACAAGTCTGAGCCAGCCTTGCAAGACCTTGACTCAAAATAAAAAATAAAAAGGCTCCTGGGTTTAATCCCTATACTGGAGGTCATGGAGACAAATCCTAGAAGACTTTACTGAAGTATTTTGTGAAACATTTAAAGATGAACTAGTATCAATTTGGTATAGTTTGGGGGGAAAAAAAAAAACAGGAAAATTCTGACTTAGTTTTTACCCTGCTATAAAGAAAAACTAATATCTAACATCTCCCATAAAAATAGATGGAAAATCCTTCATTGGAATTTTAGCCAGCTGAATCAGTATATAAAAAGGAAAATACTTAATGACCAAGTGGAATGTAAGATTGATTTAATGTTTGAAAATCAGTCACATGATCCAACTAAGAAAAACTATATATAAGAAAAATTATTCGACAGAGTTCAACACCCATTAGTGATAAAAACTTTTAGTAAATTAGAACTTGAAGGGAACTTTCTCAAACTTTAAAGTACAATTAGTATACTCCTATAACGTATATCTTGCTTAGCAGTGAAAGACTATATGTTTTCTCCCTAAGATCAGGAACAATGGAACCATGGCTTACTTTCACTACTTAAATATTTGTCATTGTATTGAAATTATATCTAGTTTAGTGGGATAAGAAAAATATGTTATAAAATATGGCTCTCAAATCAGTGGTTCAGTGGCAGAACACCCCCTGGGCTCAATCTCCAGTACCAAAAATAAATGAATAAATCAAAATTTTTAAAATGACACTTAAAAAATATGAAACTTAACATTTTAAGAAACTAGTTTATGAATGTAGAAACTACTTATGAATGTAGAAAAATTTCAAAAGAATCCACAGAAGCTGGGGCAACTAAGATGAATAACTGAGCTTGGTACAAAGTAGTGATAGAAAAGTTAATTGTATTTCTGTATTCTCACATTATAAATGTAAATAAAGTAAACATGTTTATATTAACATATAATATTCAAATACTTTCAGAGAAATTGAACAAAATTTTGCAAAGCCTCTGTGTCTTGGAAATTATAGAATGTTGCTGAGAAAACTTAAAGAACCAAGTAAGCAGAAACAAGCACCATGTTCATGAATCAGAAAACTCAAAATTGTTGTTATACAGGTTGAGCATACCTAATCCAGATGCCTCAAAATTCGTAACTTTTAAGAAAGTTTTGGATTTTAGATTTTCAGATCTGGGATGATCAACCTGTAAAGAATGTCAAATACTGGGTACTCCTGTGAAGGGTACTCAGGAACTCTACTATTTTTACAGCTTATGTGTGGATCTAAAATTATTTCAAGATAAAGTTTAAAAATGTGCCAGGTGTGGTGGCACACACCTGTAATCTCAGCAACTCAGTAGGCTAAGGCAAGAGGATTGCAAATTCAAGGCCAACCTCAGCAATTGAGTGAGGCCCTAAGCAACTTAATAAGATATTGTCTGAAACCAAAAAATTTGAGTTGGGGATGTGGTTCAGTGGCAGAACACCCCTGGGCTCAATCTCCAGTACCAAAAATAAATGAATAAATCAATTTTTTAAAAATGACACTTAAAAAATATAAGGTAAGTCACAGACTGGGAGAAAATATTTATAACATCTGATAAAGGATTATATCCAGAACGTAAGAATAAATATTACAACTCAAACAAGAAAACAATAGTATTTTTATAATGGGAAAAAGAACTGTGAATAACTACTAAAACAGCAAAGATATATGAATGCCTATGAACATATGCTCAGCATTATTACTTCTTAGCAAATGTGAATATAGGCTGGGCACAGTGGCACACACCTGCGAACCCAGTGATCTGAGAGGCTGAGTCAGTAGAATCACAAATTCAAAGGCAGCCTCAGCAACTTAGCAAGGGTCTGAGCAACTTAGTGCAAGACTGTGTCTCAAAAAAATAAGATGAACTATTGATGTGGATCAGTGATAAGTACCCCTGGGTTCAGAAAGAAAAGAAAAAAAAATGTTAATGTAAACCATAATGAAATACCACTATATACTAATACAGATAAAATTATATGATAATTACAATGTAGAACAGCTAGAATTCTCATACATTGCCGGTGAAAATTAAAAAATGGTATCACCACTTTGGAAGACAGTTTGGCAGTTTATAAGTTAAACATAGAACTCAACAGTCCCACTCCATATTCTCCCAAGATAAATTTTTTTAAAAACTGCAGGTGTTAGTATTAGTATCATTTATCATAACCCCCAAACTAGATACAGTATAATTGGCAAACTGCAGGTGTTAGTATTAGTATCATTTATCATAACCCCCAAACTAGATACAGTATAATTGGCCCCATAGTGCACCCACACAATAGAATACTACTTAGTAGTAAAAAGGATGAAGCATGGATTAATCTCAAAAACATGGCAAGTGGAAAAAGCAAAACACCAGTTGCATGTCATATGATTTCATTTATGTGAAAATCTAGTAAAAGCACAACTAAGGAGTTAAGTGGTGACAGGGGGGCAAGGACAGTGGGGTGGGGCAGAAATTGACCATATAGAGAATATTTAAGATGATGGGAATGTTCTATATCATGATTTGGGTGGTTACAATGTTGTATACAGTTATCACAACTTATTAAATTGTACAGTTAGAGTTGGTGAATTTTTTAGAGCCTTTTTATGTGTTATTTCTTCTGCCTAGAAAGCTCCCTTTTCTCATAGTCGGTGTTCAGATCTCACTTAAATATCATTTTGTCGGAGGGATTCGTTTGTCCAGAGCCTATACTAGCACAGGTTTCTGTGGAATCCTGCCCTTAGGTTGCCATTATCACAACTTTAGTTATGATTAAGTAATAATCAGCTTAAGTTCTCTTTTATTGTTACATCTGCAAATCCTAGGAGGAGCTAGATGCTGATTACTAGTGTTGTTAGTGCTTGAGTTAGGTACTCTAGTAAATATTGCAGGACTGAGTATAAAGTGAATAAAGAGTTCTCTGTCTCTTTTTCTTAGGAGGGTCATTCTTAGCTTCTGCCAAGGGCACCGCTGGCTGAGGCTTTCTACTTAGCTTTGCTGCATTATTCTGGAAGTTGATGACTATAAATGTTTAGCTGTGATTTTGTTCAGACTTCATGTGGGCACTGCCACAGATAAATGGGGAGCTGTCACCATGGATCACCATCCTGTTTTGTGTCTTCCCATTCTGGGAATAAAGAGAAACCCTTCCTTGCTGTTATTCTTTAGCAGAAAGGGGAAACTGCTCTGGGGTGGGCTCCTTGATTTCCAGCCAGTTGAGAAACTCCAACTGTTGTTGTCTGCTTTATAACAGTAAGTCAGCTTCTATGAAGCATCATAGAATACCCCTTCCTCTCCTGATCCTAATGTTCAAGAGAGGAATAACACTCTACTCCATCCAGCAACTAGGCTTAAGAAATCTAAGCTGCAGCCAATTTGAGTGCTCGGGTAGAGGCCTATTTAACCTTCTTCTGGGATGTGAAAACAGTATTGATGCTATGTCATTTAATCATATTTTTGTGTTAGCATTGTCTTATAACCATACACATACACGGAAATAATTGTTTAGACCTAACTGGTTTCATGATTTATTGGGATGGTGGGTAGTAGGTAAAAATTGTCTTACGTGCATTTTGCTTCCCCCCCCACCCCTTCCTGGATGGCCAACCCTCACCCTAACCTTCTCAGTTCTATGACTGCAGGTGTGTGCCACCATATCCAGCATGCACATTTTGGAATAAACTAATGTTATCTAGTAGTGAAGAGATGCTAGTTTGTCAGTCTCCGGTTTATACAATCGAGTAGAAAAAGATACCCTGACTTAATTTGATAGATGGTAAAGAACTGTTGTCAGAACTTATATAGTACTTTTGATCCTCCAAACAAGTTAGAACAGAATTGTTTTGTCTTGTATACTAATGCATCTCTCTCTCTTCCTGATCTTCTACCCTGCTTCTCATCTTTTCAACATTATAGCCTCAGCATATGAATTATACCAGGATGTAGCTCTTGGGAGCCAGAAGATCTGACATAGTGAAAGCAACTTGTTTGTTAGGCAGGTACCACATGTGCTAAACAACTTTAGCTTGGATTTCCACTTTGCACTAAAAATGATATGGTTAATTGTTTTTTTTTTTAATGAAAGTTTAATGATTTCTCACAAAAATGATTTCAGTACTCTAATATGTAAACACATTAAATTTTTAGTTATGAAGGTGTTATTTATTTGTTTGTTTATACATACCAGGGATTGTTTAATATGTAAACACATTAAATTTTTAGTTATGAAGGTGTTATTTATTTGTTTGTTTATACATACCAGGGATTGTTTAATATGTAAACACATTAAATTTTTAGTTATGAAGGTGTTATTTATTTGTTTGTTTGTTTGTTTATACATACCAGGGATTAAGCCAAGGGGTACTTAACCACTGAGCGACATCTCCAGCCCTTTTATTTTTTTTATTTTGAGCACAGCCTTGCTAAGTTACTTATCGCCTCATTATATTATTGAGGCTAGCTTTGAACTTGAGATCCTTCTTCCTCAGCCTACCAGCTAGAATTACAGGCATGGGTCACCTTGCCCAGCTTGAAAAATGACTTTTAGAGCAAGTTTAATTATAACCATTTCCTTTGTTTAGTCTTCTGTAACTTAAGTATGTATTTATACCAGTGACTTCTAGAGAAATTGTTTATGCTCATAAAAGTTTTTTTTAAAAAAAGCTATAAGTCGTTTTTCAGTATGGCTTATGCTAACCAAGACCCTGTGGTATTTTTTCTTAGTTTGTTTTTTAATGAAGCAATTCTTCAAACATGACATAGCAGTCTGTGTTAATACCAGTCAATATAAAGAAGAGTTGGAATTTTAAGATTAAACAGGTTCATTTTGTTAAGATCATGTTTTGTTTCATTTTGTAGCCTCTTGGTGAATTTTTGGATGAAGCCATTAAATTAATTTCTTGCCATCATGAGCAGAAGCAAGCGGGACAACAATTTTTATAGTGTAGAAATTGGAGATTCTACGTTCACAGTCCTGAAACGGTATCAGAATTTAAAACCTATAGGCTCCGGAGCTCAAGGAATAGTTTGGTAAGTCTTACTTCCAAAAATGAATCAAAGAATCAGCTTGCCTCATATGAGTTGCTATCTTTAAATATAAACTCTGGTTAAATACTTGTTTATAAGCCATGCAGAAACAGCTAGCTATATCAGAAAAGGATAAGTGGCATGTTTGTTAATTCCATGTGTACATCTATTTCCATAGCTAATTATTTAATATGAAACCTCACTTAATCATCACTCACACACCAAAATGAAACTCCGGAATTTCAGAAATCTTATTTTACACTCGTAATGGAAGTCATCTGATAACCCCAGTGTACACATTTCAAAACTCATATAACTTTAAAACTGATTTACAAGCTAATTTCTACAAAAGACCCAGGCTTTACAGATCAGCATAATTTCTTATAATCTGAAATGCAAAACATTCTTTGGGATAGTTTTGCTGATAATTCAAAATCACTGTTAGCATAATAAGCTGGTGTTATTGGGAATTCTAACACACACTCCAGTATATCTTTATTATCTCTTCATGAACCAAATTTGTTTTGAAATCCATTTTAAAAATCAGGAGTTTTTATGATTCAGCACTTCTGCCAGGTTCTTAGAAAAACTCTTGCACATGTACATAGAGACATACATAGATCTGTTGTTTGCAGCATCATTTATAATAGCAGAAAATGAAAACAGCATCAAGTCTGTCAATAGGAGAATTAAAAATTGTGATATAATCATAGAATGTAATACTATACAACATTTAAAGTGAACTGGAGCTCTATGTATAAACAAAGATAATATAAGAAATATAGAGTTGATTTTAAAAAGCAAGATGTAGAATATACATAGTTTTGCACCATTTACCAATACTTTAAAATATTCAAAACAATGCCATGTATTTTGGGTGCATGCTATATGTAGAAAAGGTAAAATCATGCATAAACATCAAGGATTTTATTTACCTCTCAGAAGAGGAAGGTTGGTTTACCTATAAATCATTTTTTTAAAACAAAAAAAATCCAGGGTAATTATGGTAAAAATTTAAATCTAATTAATTTGTGTAATGAAAAGACATTCTCTTTATTGAAGTAATTTATGATATCAAAAATTATAGAAATTGGGGTCATTTTATAAACTCTATTAACTGACTGACATTTTTTTATTTTTCGTACTTGTAGATGGGCATAATGCCTTTATTTATTCTTTTTAAATATATATTTTTTTAGTTGTAGATGGACACAATATCTTTATTTTTATGTGGTGCTGAGGATCGAACCCAGTGCCTCATGCATGCTAGGCAAGTGCTGTGCCACTGAGCTAAAAGCCCCAGTCCTAGCTGGCTAACATTTTAATCAATGACATTGACCTATTTAACCAGCCACAAATTAAATTTAAAAAAATATTTACAGTCAGTATTTAGAATTTAGAAAGTCAGCTGTTGGTTCAGATTCAAGGTCTTTGATTTACTTTGGTTTTGTGTCTCTTGGCAAATTAACAGTTTTAAGCCTGTTTTTCTCAATTAATTTATAGAGCTATTTTTGAGCATTATCCTATATAATTTAGAAAAATAATTAAATAATGTTTAGTGTTATGTTCCTTCACTTATCCTCAGGTAAGTGCACTTTGAAATTTGTGTATCAGAATTAAAAATGCTTTGGAAAGGACCTTAAGTCCCTTTAGCCACCATATCCTAAGGAATGAATGTCTTCAAATTGTCACTTAAAGTAATAATTTTATAAAATATTATTATGAAATAGATTAAATACAAAAATTTCAAAACTCATTGTGTTGCTGTCAGGATCAACTGAAGAACCTAATTTGATAAAACATTAATAGTAAGGTTTATGGGTATGCATAGGGGCCAGGTGTTTTCTGATTTGTGCACACTGAAGAATCAACAATTAAAAATCTAATTTCCTTGGTTATAAAATAGTGGAATCCATTAAGATACTTTCAAACTTTAATAGTTTGAAATATTCTTTTGCTGTAGCAGATAATAAATTAATAGGAATGAATTTAAAAATAAAATCTTTATTAGGAAGGATAGTAGAATGAAACAGACATTATTACTGTGTGTATATATGTAACTGCATGACCAATGTGATTCTGCAATCTGTATACTCAGAAAAATGAGAAATTATATCCCATCTGATTCAAATGTATGATATGTCAAGATCACTGTACTGACATGTGTAACTAAGTAAAACAAATAAAAAAAATAAGTTCTTTAAAATAAATAAATAATAAAATCTTTATTATCTGAAGATACATTTCTAACAATTTTTCATGACCCTTGATATTGTTTTTTTTTTTTTTAATTTGGGCAGCACATATCTATAAATATAGTACTTTTAAAGTAAGGGTTATATTTATGTTTATTTTGATATGTGTATGATATGCAATCATTATGTGCAATATATTCATTATAATAATTATATACAATCGTTATAGTATATACAGAATGTAGAGATATAAATGTAGTACAATGTCATAATCTATATAGTTCTATAACAAATACCAAATAGATATGAAGAGAGAGTTACAAAGTGTTTAATCAGGTGAAAACCATCAGTAATTAACTGGCTTTCCAAATACATTTAAATAGAAGTAGACTTTTATAATATGTGTAAGTGGTTCAGTATGAAATGCACAGCCTCATGTCTTTTTTTAAAATTTTTTTTTAGTTGTAGATGGACACAATACCTTTATTTTATTTATTTATTTTTATGTAGTGCTGAGTATTGAACCCAGTGCTTCACACATATCAGACAAGTGTTTTATCACTGAGCCACAACCCAGACCTTCATGTCTTTATCTTCTAGCCTCAGCTTTATTTTTAACTTTTTGACTAACCTTGAACCAGTTACTTAACTGCTGATCCTCCTTAGGTGGAGATGAATCCACATTTTTAAAGAACTTTCAGTCATAAAATTCAAAAACATAAAGACAGATTACCTTATTTGTGTTTCCTATTCTCAAACCTTTCATATACCAATAGATATGTCATATGGTCAGCATCAAGGGGTAAAGGAAGAAATGAAGAGTAATGTATATGTTGCGATGTGTATGTCCCAGTTATGAAGCAGCTTCTGATGTTTTCAAATTTAGCATTCATATTTGTAAACACCTTGATTTTTTTAGTTTCTCTAAAATAAAATGTTAAGGCTTTTTCAAAACAAATTTTAATATTTTATATACACACTTCTGTATTTATTAATTGCCTGTGACTGAAAGGATGGAAGTAATGGGTTTATGTAGAATTCTTCAGCAAACATTTTGAGTAGAATTCATGTTTATCCTGACTTTCTTTGATCTGGTTGAAGAGTGAATGATTCCTTTAGGCTTTAAGCTATCTTAGCAGACCTAAATATCTATAAAGCATTTATGTATTCATAGTGCCAACCCTGGGCTAAGTGTATCTTGGAGGACAGACAACGAACCAGCGGGGTGTCTGTCTTTTCAATCCATTGCCTCCTTGGATACATTATTATTTTAAAAAATGATTGTTATTTGCTGTGGAATATATTGTCATAAGTATAGAAGACACATGTTGAGCATTACAGACTGAAGAGTGATCCAGTTCCATCTATCTTTGGAGGAATTGAGGAATCTGCATGAGTGTTTCATAAATTCAGTTTTACAGATTTTTACTTTTTTGTTTTTGAATTTCTTGTTACAGTGCAGCTTATGATGCCATTCTTGAAAGAAATGTTGCAATCAAGAAGCTAAGCCGGCCATTTCAGAATCAAACTCATGCTAAGCGGGCCTACAGAGAGCTAGTTCTTATGAAATGTGTTAATCATAAAAATGTAAGTGAATAATTTAGATTTCTTAAATATAGATGAAATCAAGATTTATTTATGAATACACAAATATGAAAGACTTTATAGAGACTTTAAATTATTCTGAATTGAAACATTGTTTAAAGGGAATATATATTCACAGGATGAATTTTTTTTTAATGTTGTAGATGGACATGATACCTTTAATTAATTAATTAATTAATTTTTTTAATGTGGTGCTGAAGATCAAACCCAGTGCTTCACACATGCAAGGCGAGTGCTCTACCACTGAGCCGCAACCCCAGCCCCACAGGGTGAATTTTTTACCCAACTTTATTAAGTGATATCAAAAGAAAATGACTTCTGAAATTTAGAAGAATATTATTTAAGTTTTATTTCTTATTTTGCTGCTTATTCTCTATAGAGCTGACATTTCAAAAATATTAGTAGCCTTAGTACAGAGATGAAATTATTCAAATTTTATTTTGATACTGGATCTTCCCTTAATTGTACAGGATAGAAGTGCAAATCATTTCTCACCATATCACTCACACCTCTTTAGTGATGTAAGTATTTACTGATCATTTTATGTTGAAGGTAGCCAGTGGTTACAAAGCACTGTAGCAGAAATTTTTTGAAAATATTTAAAGGGAATTAGAAAAAGATTTCTAATTATACTTCCTAATGATGTAACATTTACTCATTTTGAGGACAGTTGTACTTTTTTGAATTACTTTACACATTCTGATATTTTTATAGTTCTTTTGTGGAATGAATACTCTAAACTGAGAGCAAATAACTAAGAGGAAATTGTGCAAGGTACAGTTTTATGAAGCACTAAACTGAAAGCACTTCACTGGAGACATTTTGTGGTGATTGTCCAAAGGAGTTGATATGATATAATAAGTATAATACTTTCTAATGGCAAATAATACAATTCACCACATTATATTGGAGTTATAAGTTTATCTCCAAGTTGGGGAATGCATGGACATTAAGCCTCCTTATTTGAGAAACGTGTTTGAAGGCAAAACAAATAATGTAAAGTTAAATATCAAATATCACAAAGCATGAGTAATTTAACTGTCAGTTGATATAGATGGTCAATAAGTTCTAAAATCTCAATAGAGAAATCTCTGTGAGCCTTAATTAATGGGAAGGCTTTCAGAAAGAGTAAACTTAGGCCAACTCTTAAAGATGGAATGAAAATTGGATTGTTGTAGAAAAGGGTCCCCCCAAGAAAGGAGAAGTGGCATAAAAAGGGCTGGATAGAGTTAAAGTTAGTCATGGACAGGAAGGTAATTGTAGTAGCCATTCTGTTTCCAGGTATGAGCCAGACATGTTGGTCATCAGAGTTTTGCTAGTGGCCTCCTAACCTTGGATAATGCTTCTGTACCTCTTGTATCCTGTGGACTCAGTTTCACAATGAGGGCTGTGGGAGCATCTTAGTTTTTCCTATGGAGAGGAGTCCAGTTTCTCCTTTCTCCCAAGCCTGGGTGACTGCAAGGAAAGATATTTCCTTCTACTAAATAGCACATGTGTCTCAGAATTAGCCCTCTAGCAGGAGAGGCACAAAGTGTTCAACACTTATTTTGTTCAGTGAAGGAATTTAAAACTAAATATAGTCAGCCAGGAATGCTGACTCTTCTTTTCTACTCCCTGATAGATGGATGTTTTGGGAATGTCATGTCTCAAACACTTTTATGTTCTACACAGATGTTCTCTTCATTATTCTCTAAGTATCTCTGGGTTTTTCTGCCCTTTTCAAGAGGGTTTTTGAGTTTCTTTTTTAACTTGATTACTTACCTGAAAACACACTTTGATAAGTCGTCTAGCACACACAGTTCTAGATTTTTGATAGAATCCTCTGATAGGAGCTCAGGCAAGTTATCTCCCCTTTACTGCAGACATTATATCCTATTTGAAAAGCATGTCACCATTGTCTAATAAGTCAAAGGCCCGTTAGTGGGTCTCATCCATCCCCTTTTATTTTTATTTTTCTCTCTTTGATTTTGGCAAATTTAAATAGAGTTTGCTTTTTTTCTTTGTTTTGGCTTTATCATTTATTGGCTTTACTTCCCCGTTTTGCTCAGGATATCTTCATAGGTACCTTGGGGTATATTGCAAAAATTATGTTTTCCAGAGTCAGCCAGCTCTCTCTAATTCTTCATCTTATTTACATAGATGTTGTTCTTAGAGACATTTTCATGTATACCTTTTTGAAGTCTTCACATACTGTATTTAGTTGCACTTCTCTCATTTATTGCTGTTGCTCTTTGTTCTCTTCTCCCATCTTCCCCCAGTAGGAAACAGTGCTTCTCAATGAATTGTTATTTGTTCCTCATAATTACTACTTCTTTCAGTTAGTCCTGTATAACCCATTAATCAATCCTAGACTTTTGTTTGGCCATTCTGTGATTGATATAATTTCCTTTATTTCCCCTCTCGAAAAATAGGACAGTTGTTTTTTAAAATCTCATTTATGATAGCTTAATTGAGATATAATTTACATACCATATAATTAGCCCATTTCGAGTATACAGTTTAATATATATACCCACTGATATGAGTGATTATCAACACAGTTAGTTCTAGAATATTTTCATCACCTCAAAAAGAAACACTGTAGGGCTGGGGTTATGGCTCAGCGGTAGAGCACTTGCCTAGTATATGCAAAGCCCTGGTTTCGATCCTCAGCACCACATAAAAATAAATAAATAAAATAAAGATATTGTGTCCAATTACAACTAAAAAATAAATATTAAAAAAAAATTTTAAAAAGAAACACTGTATCCTTTAGCTGTTGATCCCCTATCTTCCATGCCCCCCAGCTCTAAGCCACCACTGACTTCATTTGTGCCTCTGTATGCCTTAAATCTTTTAACATCTCTCTTTTACCCTCAGATTTCCCAAATATTAGTGAGAACAGTTTTACTAAAGTCCAGATGCTATTCAGCTGGTTGTGAGACTTGAATTTATTTAGAGTATCTGATATTTTATTATTATGGCTTCCCCCATCTTAAAAAAAAAACAAAACTGTACTTTGTTTGAATTTTATTTTTCTGAATTGATCCACTGAACAGATGTTTAAGTGCTTTCAATAGGCAGAGCTTAATGCAGAGATGAATTCTGCCCTCATATCTAAAAAAACTTTCCTGTCCCTAAATTGTTAGCAAACATTTTTAAATGTGTCAGGTACATTGCTGTGTACAAGGCAATAAGTAAATAAGCCACAAATCTTTCTAACAAGGATCCTGTGTGGTCTGGATGAAGCTGTTGTGAAAATGAAATTACAGTACTGTATGTTGGATACCATGACAGCATAGAGGATAACTAGAGACAGAGTAGAGAGAACAGTCAACTCTGATAGGGATTAGGGGTTACCAGACTCTGTCAAAGAAATCCATCTTGAAGACAATTAAGTTCAGTTGGTAAATGACAAGTGTAGTTTAGAATAGTATGCTTAAAAATATTAAAGGCTTTTTAAAATGACATTCTTGAAATGAATTTAGTTTGGGTAAATTATCAAGTTTAATACTACTAAATGAGGTGATACTCTAGCATGGGTTTTTGGAATTTATTTGTTGGCTTAAAGTTTTTGAGGAGGTAAGTAATATGATCGGATCTTTTTTTTACCATATTACAGGAAATAAAGTGAATAAAGTGGTAGCTGGGTTTTCAGAAAACCATTGTTAACTCAGGCTTCCATAACAAAGTACCATAGACGAGAGGTCTCAAACAACAGATTTAGTTCTCGCAATTCCAGAGGCTGGGAAGTCCAAGATCAAGGTGCTGGCTTACTTGGTTCCTTGTGAAGGTGCTCTTCCTGACTTGCAATTGGCCAGTTTCTCACTGTATCTTCACATGACCTTTCCTTAATGCATGGGTGTGGAGAAAGAGAAATTTTATTCTGTTCATCTTTTTTTTTTCTTTTCTTTTTTAATTTTTTTCTTTTTTTAATAGAGAACTCAGGGGTACTCTATCTCCGAGCTACATCCCTAGCCTTTCGTAAAAATTTATTTTGAGACAGGGTCTCACTAAGTTGCTCAGGCAGGACTTAAACTTGTGATTCTCTTTTCTCTACCTCCCAAGTAGCTGGGATTATAGGTATGCATCACCATGCCAGATTTTGTTCTTCTTACGTGACCTATTCCCATTATGAGTGCCACACTTTCATGACCTAATATAAACCTAATTAACTCAAATTCCCTATCTTCATATAACATCACATTGGGAGTGAGGGCTCCATCTGTGAATTTCAGGGGGACACACACACATTCAGCTTGTAATACTAGTATTAGACGTAAGATTTTAAACTCTTTAACCTGTATTAATAGTACAGGGAATGTAGAAAAAGAGATTGAGGGTATAGAATGATGTACAACAGACAACATTCTTTCAGATATGTGCTATGGTACAGATAAAGAATCACTCTGAGTTTTCTCTTGTAAAAGGGAGGATATCCTGGAAAATTAAGGAGTTTGGTAGGAATAAAATGAATTCAATTTTATATTATTTGTTAGAAGTCCACATAAGGGACTATGTGTATATGAAACTCATGATGCTAAGCAAAGACTTTTCATGCTTATTTGGGAATTATCCACATAGAAGTTTGGAAAAGTTACATAGATAATAATATCATTTAGGGAAAGGGTAGACAGAAACAAGAGGGCTTGAAGACAGTAGTGGAAAGGAGAGTATACCTTTGGATGAATCACTGGATTTGACTGGAAATGAAGAAAACTGGGAAAATATGATACTGTTAAAATCAGGCTGGGGCAGTGATGCATGCCTGTAATCCTAACAACTTGAAAGACTGAGGCAGAAACATCTCAAGTTCAAGGCCAGCATGGGCAACTTGGCTAGACTCTGTCTCAAAATATAAAAGGAGTTCAGTTGTGGAGCACTCTAGCTTCAACCCCCAGTATTGAAAAGAAAAAAATAAGAAATGGTCTAAGGAAACCCTTCTGAGAGTATACAGAAATATTGAGTTGAATAAAAAGCTAGAAGGTGTTTAAGATTTGGTAACAAATTATGTAGAAGTTTGTATAACATAAGAACTTGTTAGAGTGTTCATAAATGGAATGAGTGATGTGAAACTCTTCTATCTGTAAAGTTTTTGTTCTTTTTAAAGACTGTTTTAGAACACTTTTAAGTTTACAGCAAAATTGAGAGGAAAATACAGAGAGGTCTCACATATAACCTGTCCCTCCACATGATAGCATTCCCCTAAATCAGCATCCCCCACCTAACTGGTACTTTTGTTTAATTGATGAACCTACATTAATACATTATTTATTACCCAGTCTGTAGTTTACCTTAGGGTTTTCACTATGGTTTTTTGTTTGTTTTTTTGTGGCCCTGAGAATAAACCCAAGGCCTCATGCTAGCTAGGAAAGCACATACCACTGAGCTACATCCCTAACCCCTAGGGTTCACTCTTGGTGTAGTATAGTTATGGGTTTGAATAAATGTATAATGATATATATATACTTTTATTATCATACAGAATATTTTCAGTGTCCTAAATATCTTCTGTGCTGTCTGTTAATCATTGCCTCCCAATTCCTGGCCATAAAAACTTTAATATATAAATGAGATTTCTTGAACTTAAAACACAAAACTTGAAAGATTTTAAACTGATGTTGTATTTTTTTTTTAACCCAGGTATTTGTAGTTCCCAAATGAAGTAGAAAGTAGTTTCTAATTTTTCTCTTTGTTTTTACCACAGATAATTGGACTTTTGAATGTTTTCACACCACAGAAATCCCTAGAAGAATTTCAAGATGTGTAAGTGTGACGATTAAAACTTTAGTTAGTTCAAAACTTTATTAGTACATTATTCTTAGATTGTTGCTATACACTTTAGCTGTCATCTTTTTCCACCCATGAAGTTACATAGTCATGGAGCTCATGGATGCAAATCTTTGCCAAGTGATTCAGATGGAACTAGATCATGAAAGAATGTCCTACCTTCTCTATCAGATGCTGTGTGGAATCAAGCACCTTCATTCTGCTGGAATTATTCATCGGGTTAGTAGAAAAAATTATCACCATATTTCTTTTTTAAATCATTGAGCTGAAATTTACATAACCAAAATGAACCATTTTAAAGTGTACAGTTCAGTGTTAAATATTTAAGCCATTTACAATATTGTGCAAACACCACCTATATCAAAACTAAATATTTTTGTCACTCCAAAAGAAAAATCCCTGTGTCCCGTAAGTAGTCATTTGACATTACTGACTCTCTAGCACCCACAATCATACTGATTCACTTTCTGTGTCTGTAGATTTACTTGTTCTATTTCATATGAATGGAATCATATGATATATGATCTTCTGTGTGTGGCTTCTTTCATTTAGCATAATATTTTCAAGATTTGTCCATGTTGTAACATGTATCAGTACTTCAATCCTTTTTATGACTGAATAATATTTTTTATATACTACATTTCACTTATCTATTCATCAATTGGTTATTTCTACCATTGAGCTATTACAGGTAGTTCTGCTATGACTGTTGATGTGCAAGTATTTGTTTGAATATCTGATTACAGTTCTTCTGGGTATATATGCCTTAGAAATGGAATTGCTGGGTCATATGCAATTCTGTGGTTGATTTTTTTTTTTTTTTTTTTTAGGAACCATCAAACTGTTTTCCAAAACAGTTATACCATTTTACATTTCCAGCAGCAGTATACAAAGATTCCAACTTTTTTACAACCTTGCCAATATTTGTTGTCTGACTTTTTGCATCTAGTCTCCATAGTGGATACGAAGTAATTTTATTGTGGTTTTGGTTTGCATTTCCTTAGTGATTAATGATGTTGTAGTTAGCTTTTTGTAACTGTGAATGAAATACTGGGCAAGAACGACTTAGAGAAGGAAAGGTTTATTTTTGGCTTCACAGTTTCAGAAGATTCAGTCTATGATTTGTCGTCCACATTGCTCTGGATCTGAGATGAGGTAGAACATTATGGCAGAAGGGTATGACAGAGAAAATCTGTTCAGTTCATGGCAGCAGGAAGCAGAGAGGGCAAGGAAGGTACTGGGGAGAAAATAAACTCTTCCAGGATATGCCCCCAGTGACCTAGTTCCCCTGACTAGGTTCCACCTCCATTCAGCTCTCAGTTGATTAATCAAAGTTAATGAGGTCTAAGCCTCATGACCTAATCATTACCTCAAAGCCCCACCTCTGAACCTTACTGCATTGGGGACCATGCTTTCAACAGATGAGCCTTTGGGGGACATTCTGGATTCAAGCCATTAACACAGATGTCAAGCATCTTTTCATATGTTTGTTGGCAGTTTTTATATCTTCTTTAGAGAAATGTGTGTTTAAGCCCTTTTGCTTGTATTTTAATTGAGTTATTTGTCTTTTTGTTATTGTTTTAGAAGTTCTTTATGTACTTGATATAGTAAGCCTTTATGAGACATACAATTTGTAAGTATTTTCTCCCATTCCATGGCTTGGCTTTTCATTTTGATGGTATTCATTACTGTGTTAAAGTTTTTCATTTCCAACAGTTTTTGTTGTTGTTTTGTATGTATTTTTGGTGCAATATATAAGACTCCATTTATAAAGATTCAGCCTTATGTCTATAAAACTTTTCTACTTAGCTCTTACATAGGCCTTTGATCATTTTGAGTTCATTGTTATATGTGGTATAAGATAAAGGACCAACATCATTTTTCCACATGTGGGAGTCCAGTTGTCCCGGTTCCATTTGTTAAAGAAACTTTTCTTTCCCCCAATGAATGGTCTTGGCACCCTTGGTAAAAACCAGTTGACCACAAGATACATAGTTTGATTTCTGGACTTAATAGTTCCATTTCATTGGTCTTTGTGTCTGACCATATACCAGCACATTATTTGGATCACTGTAACTTTGTAGTTTTGAATTGGGAAAATATGAATCCTCCAACTTTGTTCTGATATTTTCATATGTTTGTTGGCAATAATGTTTTGAATGTTTAGGGCTCCTTATGATTGAATATGAATTTGAGGATCAACTTTTCCATTTCTGCAGAAAAGGCCATTGGAATTTAAGTAAGGATTTTTTTGAATATGTAGGTTGTTTAAGAAGTTTTGTCGTCATCATACTAATTTGTCATCATAATAATACTTAGTATTCTAATAGATGAACATGGGATGTCCTTTCATTTTCTTATGTTGTTTCAAAGCCTGCTTGTGTTGTCATATTAAAATACTACAGATTGGATAGCTTTAACAGTGGAAATTTGTTTTTTCACATTTTTGAAGTTCATAATCAGGTTGACAAAATATTTGGTTTCTGATAAGGTCTCTTTTTTGCTTTCAGATAGCCATTTCTCTTGCTTTGTCCTCACATGGCTTTTTATCTGAGCATATGTGGCTAAAAAATGCTTTGGTATCTCTCTTGTAAAGACACCAGTTCATTTGGATTGAGGCTTTACACTTATGACTTATTTTAATCTTAAGTACATATAATATCCTATCTCCAAATAGAGTAAGCACTGGGGCTTAGGACTTCATAAGAATTTGGAAGGGAACAAGGTTTAGTCTATGACATAAATTTCCTTTAGTTTCATTTAGTATTGTCTTGTAGTTTTCAGTGTGTATAAGTCTTTCTCCTTAGTTTATTCCTAGGCATTTTATTCTATAGGATGCTATTACAAATGGAATTATGTTCTTATTTTCCTTTTCAGGTTATCAATTGCTAGTATATAAAAACACAACTGATTTTTGTGTGCTGTTTTTTTTTCTTTTATTTTATCCAGAGTTGCTGTTTGCAACTTTGCAGAATTTGTTTATTAGCTTTAATTGTTTTAATGGATTTTTAAAATGATTTTCTATATATAAGATCATATATCATCTGCATCCTAGTTTTACTTCATCCCAATTTGAATGTTTTGTTAACTGCTTTGGCTGGAACAGATATAGTGAAAGTGGACAACCTTGTCTTCTGATCTTAAGAGAAAAGTTTTCAGTGTTTGACCATTGTATTCATCTATTTTCCATTGCTATATCAGAATACCTGAATCTTATTAATAGAAGAGTGTAACTCACTCTTTTGGAGACTGGAAATCCAAGATTGGGTGGCTTCATCTGTTCGGCTTCTGACATGGGCCCCCTTGACTGGATCACAGCATGGCAGAGAAATAAAAAGGGAACCAACTGTGTGCAGAAGGAACCAGATGTGGAGTATTCTTACTTTTTTAACAACTTACCCTACTGAGAGCTAATTAACTCCACAACACCAGCTTTTATTTCTTCCTAGGGCAGTGTCCTGATGACCTTATTACCTTTCATTGAGCCCTACCTCTAATTACAGTTTCCACCACCTCAATATTGCCATATAAGAGATCAAGCTTTCAGCACATGAATGCTTGGGGGGCACACTCAAACCATATCCAAACCATAGCAACTATTAAAACCCCATATTAGCTATGGGGTTTTCATAAATGCTCTTCTTCTGATTGCAGAAGTTCCCTTTTGTACTAGGGTTAGTCACACTGTATAGTTAGAGAATAAAGGCCATAGTAGACTTCCCTTAATTCATATGCCAGCCGTAACTCAGGGATCTCCAGGACCATCCTCACTTCAGACCAACTGGCTACAAATTCACTGTTTCCCTACAACCTCCCCAAGCCTGGAGAATTTACTGGAATGACCCATAGGACTTCCAAAAGCGCTAAACTTAAGTTAATTTTATTATAGGAAAAGGGTACAAATTAGTGATGTTTTAGACTAGCTTTGGTATCAAAATGATGTTGGCCTCAAAATGAGTTAGGAAGTATTTCCTCCTGTTCTTTGGAAGACATTTAGGAAAACAAAACTATAGAATTTTTTTTTTTTTTTTTGGTACTGGGGATTGAACTCAGGGGCACTTGACCACTGAGCCATATTCCAAGTCTATTTTGTATTTTATTTAGAGACAGGGTCTCACTGGCTTGGCACCTCGCCATTGCTGAGGCTGGCTTTCTTAATGTAATAAAGTTGAGCTAAGAAGAGACACATTGGGATCTGTTACCTATGATGGCCATATTTATCTTAGATTAGGTAGTGTGGGAAACTCTGAGATATTCATGAAGAAGTTTATTGGGGAGTTTCTTTAGAATCAAAATCCCAGGGGGGAATAAAGCAGTAAAAATGGATAGAGGGAGAAACTGAATTGAATGCAACCACTTCAAAGACCTCAGCTGGTGACCCAACCAGCCCATTACGCTGGGAACAACATGATCTCTGTGGTTGAGAACAGTGCCTGGAGATATTTTCTTAAAGTCTGTCAACAGCTGTCATGCCTAGAAATTGAGAGAATAAGTACCTCAAACTGGTACCAAGAATCTGAGCAGGCATCACAGAATCTACTGCAGACCACCCCTTGAGCTGCTATTTTCCTTTAAAAAATAAAAACATAAGCTGTTGAAACTGCTTGTACCAGATTTTTGTTTGGCCCCTTTTCCTGGAGCAACTTCCAAGAAGTTTAATGTAATTAAACTAATTGCAGCTAATCTTGAAGGCAGAACTGGTACTTATCTCTCAATTCTACTGCTCATTCTAGATTCACCTGTTCTCTGCTGTTCTGTGATTAGTTGCTTGATAAAATAAACTGATCTTCCATCCCTTAAGAGTTCAGTGCAAATCAGGGTTGGGAGTGGATTTTCACATAGTCACTCAAAGACCCAAGCTGAGTAATAATACTTCACCATCTAGACAGCAGAAGAGAAAGCTGGGTTATATGCATTAGCTTTTCTATGTTGGGACCTGAAATGGTACATATACTTCTGCGCAGAGCCTATTGGAGGAACTGCCTATAATTGTAAGGGAATTGGAAAATATGAGGGGAACAGACTTTAGAACAGCAGTGGGCACCAGTCTCTGCCACAGTCTACCCTATTGGTTATCAGACATTCCTTTGTTCTCTTTTTTTCCATACCTCTCTAATGGAGATAACCCAAAGTCCTATTCCATCAAAATGTTTAGTATCTACATCAGTCCAGACATTGCTTCCTTTGGTTCAGTAATACAGGAACTGGAATGGCCAAAT